GCAAAACAACGACGACATGAGAATTTTTCCTTGCAAAGATAGGTGACTGCTTGCGCTACCAAGCTCTATTTCTCAGAGATCGAAAATTGTAAAGAAATGTCAAATACTTTCCATGGCAATTACTACTTTATGCTGTATTTAGTCGATAAAGGGGACAAATAAGTTTTTTAGTTCATGCTGCATCAAAATAACGGTAAGCATGCTTTCATTAGTGTGAAATAATAATTCGTTAAACAACCGTAGCTTTTCATGTAGATTGTTACGGGATTTCAAGACGAGATTTCGTTTTACGCACAAGTTGACAATTGTATGTTTAACAGAGGGTTCTTTTAATGTGGCGTTGTGACTTAGTATTTCACATGAGATGCCCCTACCTAGCACTATGCGCGGCTTCGGTCTGGATTTAAGACTGGTGATTAAGTAAATTTACTCAACTAAAAAATTAAGTTTTGCGATAGTACTTTTTGATGTGAACGCCCAGATAAAAATGAAGCAAGAGGGCTTTATGCAAATGGATCATGTTACAAAGACGATTTTTGAGGTAAAGGTTTTTGAACGAATTATGGCTCCTGGGGAGGAAAGCGTTTAAGATGCTTTCATACCACTACCTGGAAATATCCTGCTCAAATTCAAATACGGCGGTGACTTGACAAAAATACATGCTACACTAAGGAAAAATGGGTGTAACACCATTGGCCACAAAATCTTTATTTGCATCCTCATATTTATCTTTCTCTTCAAATATTCTGCCATAACAGTGTGGAAAACTAACTAGAATAAGGTTGTTACCAGCGCCAAATTTCTTTATTTTCGGTGAAATTTTGCGAGTTATCTGTCTAAATTGCACGCATTAATTTATTGGTTTCCTCAAAATGTTTTTGCTCTATTATTGGCTTGCGCGAAATCTTCCGGGTGTGTGCACATTGGTCCGCATCGTGCGTAGCACATATGTGCGCACATTCGCGTCCAAGTATAACTCGCGCCTTCGCACCGTCACACGCATTCGCGCAGGTCTGCTTGTAATCGCGCCTTCCTCTCTCGCTCCTTCGCTCACTCTCTTGCTCTTACCAGCCCCCTTCCTCCTCCGCCTCCACTTTCCCCCGTGTCGTATGTAAGTGTGTGCTAGGGGGAGCCAAGCGTATATACATACACGTGCGCACACAGACACGTAAGAGAGGCACGCGCCTTCTCTCTCATTTGCACAACCAGCAGGAGAGCGTGCGTGCGCGCCTTCTATGCCATCTCTTCTCACTCCAATGTCCGCCGCTGCAATCACTGTGAATCAGCAGCATCAGTCCTCAAGTAACATGCTGCCTCAATGGCGCAACCACTTCGAGGGATCCACCACTCCTCCAACTCAACAATCAGGAGCTACGACCGCGTCTTTGGGTAAATTGGAGACCTCGTCCCTCTCCTCATCAACCCACAGCAGTGGTACCGTTTCCCCACATATTCACGCTGCCAACGGTCAGTCACATCCTGTGGTCCCAAACATGGACGCTCTGGGCATTTTTCGAGGTCTTCAAGACAGAGCTATTGTTGTTGATCAGATGCATTATGCAACGGCACTAGCCGCCACACTGGCGGCTGTGGCATCCAACGGGCTGCCGAAATCTATTCCACCATCCGCTCTCCCAAATGGCATGCACCTCTCAGGCGATTATACTACCAGATCCTCTCGCGACCTACAGACCCGAGGAACTCTAGGAGCTCTCCCTTCCGCTTCCGGTCTCCACCAACAGCCACCACCTCAACCCCCACCGCCAACATATTTTAGGATGAACACAGAGTTAAACGCTTTTATGAAAAGGGTCCAGGAGGAAGAAGCAGAGATTAAGAAGCATGACTGTCCCAAGGCAGAGCTCGCAGAGCCGGAACTGTGGAGAGCTTTCCATAAAATGACTACGGAAATGGTGATAACAAAGTCAGGCAGGTGAGTAACCTATAGTTGCACCTTAATACCCTTCTGTTAACCGACACTAGAGTACTTACTTCTTGGCTTATTGATATTAATTGATAAAACTTGGAAACCGTTTTGTTACGACAAAATTAAAGAACGTTCTCGGATCACTATATTGGAGTGGAATGGAATGAATGACCGGATTAGAAAGTCTCATAAGTCAAATAACGTGCGATGTTTTTGTACTTCAATTCTTGGGCTAAATTTGAGCTTATTATTTCCGAACTCGAACCGCTCCATGGATTTTTCAAAAGTAATTTCGGCTGACAGTGTGATAACCTTCATTAATTTCTTCCCAAACCTTGCAGTTGGTTATGCATAACGTGACTTAAATCGGATTACCTGTGGATTATTGGCACCT